AAACATGAGTATATTATGGGAGTTTTACCTGAAAATGAATCCCAGGACCTGGTCCTGTAATTCTTTTTAGAACATTTAAATGGTATTAGAAATTCTTCTCCCTAATATTTCAATATCTAAACTTCAGAAAGCCTGTAAACATTCAGAGTGGTTTCTAGCAGGTCAGTTTCTAGCAGTAGACTCAGTCAATGGGCAACAGTAGGCAGTACAGTGGTTCTCAAATGGGGTTAGAGGTGCATCCACATGTCAGTGTTTGGCTGTATATGTGAATGTTCAGTGTCATTTGATCCAGATTTTGGGCTGTCCTGTTAGATCTATGGGATCCAACATGAAACCTAGAGCTAGACTCCAAACATTTAGGAATTGAAACCCGGGAATTTGATGCTATCTGAATCTAAGATGTGTTGTCAGTCATTGAAGTTTCCAGGTAATTGTCCTTTTGTTACTGTTAAAGTGCAGGTATTACAAGGTCTAGTGGTCATTCTGTGGCATGCACACAAATGACCAAGAAGCAAAGTCCTGATTATAATCTCATGAATGTAATACAGCAATAGCCTAAAATGTGTTTTCTAATCAGCTGCTCCTTTGCTCTAAATAAGCTGTGATTTACTTCTGAGCTGTGAGGCAACATGTTGCTCGCTTTGATTTTTAGTTCTCCCTGGCCTGTGGCTCAATATCAAAACCACCAAATAAGCCTCATCCGAAAGGGTTTAATTTCTGTTCCCACAGAAATCCAGCAGCAGAACTCCTCAATTAAACAGAAGCAGAATCAGACCAAAGATATCTCTCATGCCTCCACCGAACTTGCTGACTTCATTTCCCATGCTGCAATTTTAAACAACTTATGAACTCTGTTGGCTTTCACAGACTTTAAACTACAGAAATAAAAAAAATATCCATACACATATTGATGTCTTTTGGAAAAAAAAATATTTTTTCTTAGATTGCACATTCAAAACTTGAGCTGCACGCTGCACAGTACAGGAACAGTAGTTTGTCGATCCAATTACCACCATGTAGGTGTGTTTTGATTAGTTCAGCTCTAACCCCACAGTGCCAAACTCGGTCAGCAGCAGGAGATGGACTCCAGGTGTAATTACAGTCAGGGGTCAAGACATGCCTCCTGCGCTGTGAAACATTCTCACTTTACACTGGAAATGCCCCCTCCGAGGGAGGTTTGGACAAAGCCTTCAGGTAGATTGCAGTAGACCTTTGGGGGAAAAAAATGCTGTTCCAGATAAAGACCATGTCTGCTCATTTGCCCACCACATTTTGCCTTCTTTCTGCTGTTTCCCAGCTCTTCCCATTTGCCCTCTGCTAAATGAACCAGGCAGTGAACTTCAGCCACAGAGCAATGATGCAGGGAGCAAGAACCCTCACATCCGTGCTGGCAGGCTTTCTCTGCAGGCCCTAAGGCCACAGACAAGATGGAATGTTGGCTGTGCTGGAGTCACTGCAGATTTCAGCCCAACTGTAGTGCTGCCAGGAAGTAAAGAAAGTTTTGTACAGGCTGGATTTGGGCCATTGGGCATCTCTTTCCTATGTCCTTGCAGCAACAAGGGCACATATGGCCCACTGTGCTATGAACAACACGTGAAGAAGACTGGTTTTTATCAGCAGACTTTAAACAGTATGTGAAATAGCTGCCACGTTTTTGTGCGGTACCCTGTCCCCCCAAAATAAGAATTTAGGGTGGTTGTGCTATTTTTTAAATGTTAATGCGGAGGAGCTTCTTGATGCATTATGATGGACAATTGGTGATGTCTCCCCACTCATCCACGACAAGATCTTTCATTTCTTATTCAGGTGGGCATGCAGTTCCGCTTCCAAGGCCATCTTGTCAAAGGTGCGCGTGTTTGTCTCCTCACGCACCTTTTCCCGGACATGGAAGGATGCCCGAGCAACAGACCTGGCATTTTCTAAGACAGTCTTCTTCTCCTTGAAGATCTGCTCACTCCTCTCCAGCTTCCTCTCTATAGAGAGGAGGGTCTCCCTGCGCCGTAAGTCCTCGTACTGTTCCACCTTCTGCTTGTTCATCTTCTGCACTTTCTCCTTCTCCAGACGGCTCAAGACGACCCTGCGGGCTTTTTCTTGGACAGCCTCTTCAGCCACCTGGGCAGCATGCTGGAGCTTTCTCTCTGTCTCTCTAGCAAGGGCCTCCAAGTGCTCCTTCTGCTCTCTTTCCCTCTTCTCTGCTGCCAATTTGGCTCTCTGGATCTGCATGTCCTCCCTCCTGGCCTTCTCCCTCAGCTCCTGGTTCCTCTTCTCCACTAGTTGCTCATAGTTCTCCTGAGCCTTTGTCAAACTCATCTCCAGGGAGGCCTTCAGCATTTCCCTCTCTTCTGCCTTTTGCTTGGCCAGCTCCTTGAGCAAGGCCTCGTGTTTCAGCTTCTCTGCTTGGTTGAGCAGTTTCTTCTCCTTCTGCAGCTGTACCTCCTTCTTCAGCCTCTTCTGCACGGCCATGGATAGCTTCTCTTGCAGGAGCTGCTCCTCTCGCTCCTGGTGCTCCTTCTTGCCCTCCTCCTTCACCTTCAGGTTGTGCTCTTGATGAAGCTTCTTTTGCTTGTCCTCCTGGATGGCTCTCTGCAGCCTTTCCCTTCGCAGCCGCTCCTGCTTCTCTGCTTGCTCCCGCCACCTCTCCTCGTGAACCATGCGCTGCCTCTGCTTCAGCAGAGCTGCCTCCTCCTGCTCCTGGCTCAGCCTCCCCCGACGCTTCTGCACCTGGCTCTCCCACAACCGCTGGCCCTGCAGGAGGGCCTTCTGCTTCTCTTTCTCCTCCTGCTCCTTCCGCTGCTCCGCCCGGCGCCGCTGGCTGTCCCACTGCAGGTGTGCCGCCTGCCGCTGCTCCCGCAGCAGGCTGGCCTCCTGGTGCTTGGCGATCATCAGCGCCGCGATCTTCTTGTCCCTCTCCGGCACCTCCGAAAGGCCCTTCCTCCTTTTCACCTCCCTGACGATCCTCTCCACCTTCTGGGCGGTCTGCGGCGAGTGGCTGAGGTCGCCCAGGCTGAAGCTGCGCCCCAGCAGGGAGCTGGTGGCGGCGGCTGCTGCTCCCCGGCCCCGGCCGCCCACCTTGCCGCCGCGCTCCCGCAGACTCTCCCCGCTGTAAGAGGACGAAGCCCCCGACTCGGACGAGGTCTTGCCCCAGCTGCCCTCACGGCGCTTCTGCAGCGAGTCCAGCGAGTGGCTCTTGGCCTTGGCACCCCCGGACGCCCCGGCCTTGCCCCCTCCATGGGGCCGAGGTCCAGCAGCGGTGGCAGCAGCACCAGCAGCCCGGGGCGCACCGCGGGCGGCGGGCGAAAGCGGCAGGCTGCCGAGGGGAGCGAGGATCCGCCTCTTCTCCTCCCGGATAATCCTCTCCCTCTCCTCGCGGCACTGCTGCAGCTTGCGGCGGCGCTCCCGCTCGTAGGCCTCGTAGAGGCCGGCGGCCACCCGCATGGAGCGCCCGGGGGCCTCCCGCAGCAGGTCCCCCAGCGCCCGCGGCAGCAGCTCCACCGGCCGCACGGCGCAGCGGGCGCAGGCCTCCAGCGACCGCGGGCTGGTCAGCACGTACCGGCTGCCCTCCGCCGCCGCGCAGTCGAAGTTGTACAGGTCCAGGTGCAGCAACGGCGACTGCTCCCCTGGCCGGGCCGGCTCTGCTGCCGCTGCCCCCCCGGGCGCCGGGCAGGGCGGCGGGGGCGGCTCAGCCGGCGGCTCCACCATGGCTCGGCCTGCAAGGGGAGAGAGCGGCGGGCGGTGAGCGGGGGGAACGGACCCCTTTGTCTCGCCGGGATGGCGCCAGGGCCGGGAGGGCAGGAGGAGCTGCGTCGGGGCCGCCTGGGCCGGGGGAGGGCAGCCGTGGGGACGTTCGTGGAGGGAGGGGGTCCGGTTGCGTGGGGTGTTCGGTGGAGGGGGATGCCTGGGGCGGGGAGGTGTGTTTGGGTGGTCGGTGGGAGTGCGTGGGGCGGTTTGGAGCGATAGGGGAGTTTGGGGTGACGGGGGGGGGGTGCGTTCAGACTCCCTGCGGCAGTGGGCCCAGGTTTGTTTGGCGATGAATGGGGGTGCACGGCGTGTGTCTGGGCCGGCGGCTGGGGACTCCGGTGCAGGGGGTGCTGGGGAGATGAATGAGGATGCTTGCGGTGCACCGGCTTAGCGGTGCGGTGGAAAGGGCTGCCTGGGCGTGAACGGGGATGTAGGTGCACGGGGGTGTCAGGCAGGGCTGGGAGCGGGACCGGGACCTCCCCCCCGGGGCCGGTACCCATGGCGCAGGACGGACACCCCCGGCCCCCCGCGGCACTCACTCACTCACCGGGCGGGCGCGGCGGGCAGCCCCGCGCTTTGTCTCGGTGCTGGCAGCCTCAGGGATCAGGGGGGTGGCGGCGGCTCCTCCATGGCAGCCGGGGCCCCACGCGGAGCCCCCACCTCCGGGGCGGCGGGCACGGCGGCCGCCCTCAGGCTGAAGCGCCCCGCGCTGGGGGCGGGGGGAACGCGTCCCGCGGTCCCGCGTCGGGGCCGCGCCGGGCTGGGGGCAGCGATGATGCAGGGCGGGCGTCCCGCCCCCCGTCCGCTGCGGCGGGAGCGGCGCCGGGGCTGGCTCCGGCGGTAGGCAACGCCGCCGGGAGTGTGTCCTTCCCGGCAGGCATCCTGCATCTCTCCATCCCTCCGTGCACCTGCCCCTCCGTGCAGACCATCCCCCTGGGAGCGCGCTTCCAGGGTTGTACCCTCTGTTTTGTGCTGTGCCTGCACACAAACAAGCCCACCTGTATTTAAAGTTAATACAAACAAGGATAAAAGGGGTGTAAGAAGGAGGAGGGGATGCTAACCCGGTTTTACAGATGGCAAACTGAGCCACAGGGAGATGAAGGTGGCTGCCTTGGGCTATCTAGGGAATTGGTGCCATGGCACAGTTCTCAAATTTCAGTTTAAAGCCATTTCCAGCCTTGAAACACTATTCCCTTAAGTGCTTATTCAAGCTGTTGCTTGCTGCTGGGTTATGTCAGGACTGACAAAAGGGGGAACTTTGAACATGCTGATTGCAGTTACTTTGATATTCCCCTGTTTCTAACAGGGATCCTGGGCTCAACAGCCTCAGTGGGGTCAAGGAATGCTCCTGCTCCTACAATACCATTCAGCAAAAAGAGGATTTTATCTGGTTGTGGAGTTGCAGAGCATCTGTGCCACATAGTGGAGCAACTCTGATTTTGTCAGGCAGAGGACAGTGGTAGCAAATGCACCATTAGCTACTGTGTTATGACTTCAATGCTTTTCAGCAATTTCTCATTTAACCTCTACAGGAGCAGCTTAATCTGCTTTGCTGTATTAAGGAAGGACTTGGCACTCACTAAAGGACTTCCAGGATGGCCCAGGAGAAGGATATAAAGCAACAGAAGAAGGACTCAAGAAAGGCTTAGGGAGTCCTTGGAAGAAAGCTGGAAAGCTACAGGTTAATTGTGGTTTCATATTGTACAGGCAAAGACTTTGAATCATGCTCACCCCCAGGCTGATGAATACACACAGTAATGCACCCACAGCAAGTGGGCAAACTCCACCAATAAACCATATTGGTCAATGAGAAACTGAACATGAGCCGGCAGTGTCTGCTCACGGCCCAGAAAGCCAACTGTATCCTAGGCTGCATCAAAAGGAGCATGACCAGCAGGTCGAAGGAGGTGATCCTGCCCCTCTGCTCGTGTGAGACCTCACCTGCAGTATTGTGTGCAGTTCTGGTGTCCTCAACATAAAAAGGACATGGAACTGTTGGAACAAGTCCAGAGGAGGGCCACAAGGATGATCAGGGGACTGGAGCACCTCCTGTGTGAAGTTAGGCTGAGAAAGTTGGGGCTGTTGAGCCTGGAGAAGAGAAGGCTGCGTGAAGACCTCATAGCAGCCTTCCAGTATCTGAAGGGGGCCTATAAGGATGCTGGAGAGGGACTCTTCATTAGGGACTGTAATGATAGGAAAAGGGGCAATGGGTTCAAACTTAAACAGGGGAAGTTTAGATCACATATAAGGAAGAAGTTCTTTCCTGTTAGGGTGGTGAGGCACTGGAATGAGTTGCCCAGGGAAGTTGTGAATGCTCCATCCCTGGCAGTGCTCAAGGCCAGGCTGGACAGAGCCTTGGGTGATATGGTTTAGTGTGAGGTGTCCCTGCCCATGGCAGGGGGGTTGGAAGTAGATGATCTTAAGGTCCTTTCCATCCCTAACTATTCTATGATTCTATGATACTGACTAATTTGATCTCATTCATTCATCAGTGTTGTAGTCTGCAGGGGATGGTTATAAAGCTTGGCAATTACTTATGTGAAAAATCCTCAGGCTGGCAATAGCTGTCTGCTGTCTGAAGAGCCCAGCTCACTGTCTGGTGGATCTGACCATTAACACTAGCTGCAGCACCGTAGCTGTCAAACTATGACTGTGTTCCCTCCTCACAGGATATACTAAGCTGGTAAGTGTATATGCCAGGTAACGTATGGGCTTCTCAGGGCCTTTAGCACATTATTGTTTCAGCCTCCAATGGGGCTTGCATTTGGCCCTCGATCTTTCAGGTTTCCTTGTGGATCTTCAGGAGCCCTGTGAACGGTCTCATGAATGCAATTGGAAGGGTATTTACTGGGAGATTTCAGAAACAGCTGGATATGACTTTTATACATACTATCCAAACATGGACCCATATCCCTACCTCATCAAGACTAAAGAAGATTTGGGATGGAGCAGGAGGAGATCTCCAGAGGACCTGAAGGGGATCACTGCTAGTGAGTCATTTTCCCCCACACAATTATAAAACCTAATTCTCTGTTGGCTAGAAATCTCTAGAAATCTATGCACTCGGGCAGAGCAGTACTATAAGATTATTTTCCTGCTTTAGTATACATTTTCCTTCTTTGCATTGCTGTTAATCATAGCAAGAGATAGATGCAGGGCAGTGGAAAGTGTTGACCACAGATTGTGGAGGTGAAAGTATTTGTATCAGTTCAATAAATTCTTCTGTATGCTATTCACTGTAGATGTATTAATTACTTTCTTCCCATGCAACTTTAATACTGCCTTTGCCTGCATTTTTCTCTGCTTTCCTTGTAAGAACTGTTTCACAGCCTACGGTTTTACTCATTGGTAATATGTTGCTAGTTACTTTCAGCTTTGTTTTTTCCTCTTTTTGTTTTATCTTCCCTAGTAAGTGTTATGCCCTACTTGGGTTTATGCCTTACAAGTATTTGTAAACTGTTTCCATACCCCCTCAGAGCCAAGGAAAACATACTGTCATCACAGATCAATCCCCTGTAGTTGCACAACGAGCTCTCACCTTTCTTCTGACCTCCTCTCAGTGTATCAGGCTCTCCCAGTAGCTGCTGCCCTGAACTGAGCAGAGTGGGCTTTTGCCCAGCACTTGCCTCAGTGCTGCCTGGCACGGGGTAGTTGTGTGCACAGTCTTGGTGCTGATGTATTGCCTTACTTCTTCCTAACATTTCCTAATGTCCCTTCTAATTTGCTAGCTGTCCTAACACAGTTTGACTTTTCAGAACTGTTCCCTCCTCTGCCAGGGGGAATATTAGCTGGTGAATTATTTCCTCCTTGCTAAATAGCCTTTGTTTTGCAGGTTCAATCCTGCCTCCAGCTAGTTTGCAGTTTGTACTCTCTCCTTCTCAGGCTGTGTTTACATGGTTGTCGGGAGGATCCTGACCTAGCTATTGTGTAGCTTCTCCAGCTCTCAGCCTACTCTCTTTTGTTCAGAGCCCTCCTGATTTTGCACCAGAATGTTCCTGCACTTTCCTGAGCCCTGGGAATACGGGGAGGTGACAGCCTTGGAGAGAAGAGTGTGGCACAGCTTTTAGGTTACAGGCTGTTGGCATCTCCCAGGCACAGTTCCCTTCTCTTCCTAGCTGCTGGCAGAGCACAGGCACCCAACACCTTCCTGAGCCTGTCCCTTCTCTGCCCAGAGGCAGCTCCTGCACCTCTCCCAGGACATACCAGAGCCTCTTTAGTACAATTTTCTGTCAGCTGGATGGTTTAAGCACCGGTTTAAAACTTTAATGAGGCACTCAGTCTGAGGTCTTGATGATCCCAAGATACTCACCCCCATGACACTCTTGGTCCCTTCCTTCTGAACAGCCCCTTGCCACATGCCATAATTCTTTGTTTACAGTCCTGCAGCCCATGCACCTAAGTGATTCTGCAGCCTACTCTTAGCTGATGTTGAACATAAAGTCCCATGACACTTTCCACACTGGGCTTGCCTGGTAGCCAAAGGCTGAAACCTATTGTGCCACAAAGTTGGTGTAACAACCTGACATAAGCCAAAGTTCTCCTCCGGGAGATTTCAATGTTGGCTGCTTTTATCCATTTCCTATGCTTTGCCTTTGGCATTTGTTACTCCCTGCCTCTGTTCTGCCCACAGCTGTGGCATGGCCTGCCTTTACCTTCCTAGACGGGTGGCAGGATGGGCTTTTGCCTTCCTCCATCTGCTGCCACAGTCTGCCTCTGGGGAGATGCAAGGAAAGCCTCCCTCCTCCCGGGCTTTAAGCATTGTTCTGTAGCCCCCTCCCAGGCTGTTCCAGTGCAGTAACTGCCTCCAGCCAAGGCACCCTTCCCACCACTCACAGCCTAGAGGCTCTGCTTAACGTTGTCATCTGTGGCTGGGCCTCAGCCACTTCACGGGAGGCTTTTGGGAAATGGAGCTTCTGGCTGGAGCAAATGTGCAGAGCAGGGAAGCAGAGGAGATGGGCATGAGGAGGTAGGTGGAGATGGCAACATATGGTAAGGGCAACGCAGAGGGCTGCTGCCAGAAGCAAAACGTTTGGCGGCCACTGGGGACACACTTGCACTACAAATACGTCATCCTTCACTAATTTAAAGCCAGAGTCTAAGGGCCGCATTTGAATCGTGCTGATAGTGAGTTGTTACTGGTATTCATCTTGATGGGTAACACTGGTGTGCGCTGTTTGCTCTCTCATCAAAACCACTTGTCCTCAGTAACTAAAAGGTTTTGTTGGTGTCTAGCTGAAAGCATCCAAAGAGAGTTGGCAGTCTCTGTATTAAGGACTGGCAGCAGCGTTGCTGCATGGGTCCTTTCTTGGGGTTATGGTGAACAGCTCTGTACTTGGCTCTGTGCAAGTTGGGCACATCCACAGTGGTCTTTGTATTTGGGTAAACCTATGCAGTTACCAGGGCAGTCTGAAAAACATATGGTAGGTGGCAAAGAAAATTTTTAAAATGAGGGAAAAAACCTTGTCACTGCATATTTCCATGGCAACCAGTGTAGATGTGAGAGCAGGTTTTAGGCTGGATGGGGCTTTGGGCAACCTGGTATAGTGGAAGGTGTCCCTGTCCATGGCAGGAGGGTTGGAATGAGATGATCTTTAAAGTCTCTTTGAACCCAAAGCATTCTATAATCCTGTGATACTCTGTTGTCAATGGTTATTTCTGGAGAAATTTGAGTACTGGCATATTTTGACTTGACCCAAATTCGAGATACAGCTGCCGAGCCCCATGCATTCAGTTCTCCTGGTCAGGCTTGGCTTCATCTGGAGACCTCATGGGTCAGGAGGGTGTTACAGAGCCCTTGCACATGGTGAATCTTGAAGGACAGATTTGGCCCCAGGGTCATAGAGCAAACTTACGATAAGGCAAACAAATATCTGAATCACTTGGAAATTAGTATGGGGACATCTTTGTTATATGAGGGGTCAGAGTACACTGTTGGAGTGATCTGTGCAGGACTACAAACTCATCTCAATGAACTATTATGCATATGCAAATAGTGCAGTGACCCAGAATCATCTCTAATGAGCAAGTGCCATAGAATGTAAACTCAACAGGAAGGTACATGCTAATGCTGGTTACATTTTCAAGCTGAAACTGAAATGCAATTATGTTCCATTCATTTACTTGAAAACTGTTGGTTTTGAGCAAATGATCAGCCTTGCATCCCGCTTCAGTTTCCAAGCTGTGCTATTTCTTCTAGCACAGCCTGGAAAGCACAATGTGAAGCTATTGAAGAACAGTGGGGAATATGACATTGTTGGTGATGCTCTTCAGGGGAAGTAAAATGCAAAGTGTAATCAAACAGAATAAACTGTTAGATTGAGTGGATATCTTAAATTATTTTAGCTTTAACTAATCTGAGGTGTTTATTAGCTGAATAGTAAGAGGTTCTTTCTCTTCCTGTATTATCTCTACCTTGAACATGGCATGGATTTTATCGGTTAGGTATTTTTAGGAGAAATGCAAAAATCTCACATCACTCTTTCTTCCCGTCAGAAGCCTAACCAAAACACAGTTTTCCAGGGTATAGTATTAAATGTTCCAGACTAAATGTGAGCTGCTTTTCCATTCCTAGACTGTACTTAATCTTGCCTGATGGTGCGGTGCCAAGGAGCTTGTAGATAGAAGGGAAAGATTCGCTAATTGCTTCTGCTCTCATCAGGGAGTGAAGCACAGCAGGGAGCACAAGAGAGGGGTTCAGGAATCAGGAGCTGGACCCTCCCTTGCTTTGTTAGCCATACACCCATCCTTATGAAGTATAAAAGAGGTATATGTGGGCTTTGCACTCAGCCTACATTGATGTACTTTACAGCCTGAGGTGAAAGGCAAAGACATATTAAGACCATGATGCCTTCTTCCCAAATTCAGGAGAACTGAAAGACAAATGTCACGCTTGTGGAGGCAGAAGATCACACATGGGCAGAGTCACATCCTGCACCCACATTAGGCCTAGTGAGGAGGAGTGAGGTGGTCACCCAGGCCTGAGTTGGCCCTGCTGTTTTAACACTGTTTAACAATAACCTGAGCTATTGAGTCTGTCTTGACAACAGCCAAACCTCCTTATGAATAATTCTGCTTAATTACAGATGAATGTCTGCAGCTGAATCCTACTACTCATAATGATAGGATTACATTTAAATTCCTCAAAATTCCACCTGTATCTATATGTTTAGACGTTGGAGGGGATAAACTCCACTATTCTTCTATGTATGAGCTGGGATTCCTAATTCCTTAGATGAGAGAGAGCATTTGTCCTGAACCCCAGAGGCTGTACCAGTTCCAGTGCATTTCAGATCCAGCCATCTGAATCCCATGTCATAGAAACCTCCCTGGGAAGGGAAACTGTTCTACCTGAAGAGTGGGAGAGTACAGCTGGTGATGGTGCCAAATAGATTTTTCTTTTCTGTTGGGCTGTTATCTGGGAATAAAGCCAGCTGGAAGATGGCTGGAAGGAAATCTTCCTAACTCTGATCATATTTGCAATCAGTTTTTAAGACAGATGTTGCCTCAGGAAATATGAAAGTCAGCAGACAGGAGTTTTAATGTGCAGCTTTGCAACTTGAAAAGGGCTGAGGTTTTATAGAAAGGAAAGAAAATGAAAGTTTACTGCTTCCTTGAGCTGTACAGAGTCACTGTATGCAGCCAAACAATGCAAAATCATGTGGAAAGAACAGGTGGGAATCCAAGGAGTTAACAAATGTCCTGTAGCAAAAACTTACTGTGTAGTAGAAAGACTTTTACAACCTTTAATTTTGAAGAATAAATCAAGAAATGACTTTCTGAATTCAATTTTCAAAATTGACAATGAAAGGAGAAGCTGAGAGTCAATCAGCTGCTTTTCACAGGAAATCCTGGAACATGAAGTACTTGTTGGAAAGAAAGAAGGGTTGAGGACAGTGGGTGTTAGACAGGAATAGGTTCAGTTCTTCGCTTTGACACTTTTTAACCTAAATAAATGCTCTGAGTATCTTTGGGATCTGGGTCTCCCTCTTCTGTCTGTGAAGTGGAATAATAGCACCTTCCCTAAGCACTGCATAGCCAATGTGATAATGAAGCTGTATATTACACATATTAGATAAATTTGGCAGCAGCAGGATCTCAAGATGGTTGGAAGGTAATTTAAATTAACAGCAGGATTTTACAGTGAAGGTGATTTTGTCCTTCAGCCTCTTTGAAACAATCCCACAAACAGGCAAGAGGGGGTCCCCTGTACCTCTTTATTGTAGCACGTAGGCAATGATACAGCTAGTGTATTGTTGAGCAGGTACTAAAGGGGGCAGGATGAATATTTTCCCTTAACGGTTTTGTAGAACTGGTGTTTCATATGTGTGTGTATATAGGTCAGATTCTGCAGTTTTCTGCTCACACAAAGTCTCACTGGACTCAGTGATTTGGGTTTTGTTGCACCTTTTTTTTCCTTCAACTCCCTTGCTTTTTAGCACAGCATAGGATGAGATTCATGAGATGGTGCTGAACAAGCTGATACAGGTCCATGGCACTGTAGAACACCACATAGGTGAGATACCTGGGCAGGATGGTGTCTGCAGAGTGGTGCTGTGCCCAGGCGAGTCGTTCGGCTGGGATTTGGGTGCAGTTCACTTGAACAAGGGTAGAGGCTGATTTCAGGGTGGCTACCTAGCTACCCCTAGGAAGCAAAAGCTAAGAAGGCTGATGTGATCTTCTGGTCTGTTGGGCAAAGTGTCTCAAGTAGAGATAAGGGAGTGCAACACCAGTTTGCGAGGGACCAAGGAGACCCCACCAGAATGCTGTGTGTTATTCCAGTGTCAGGAAATCCTGCAGACAGGACTCTGGTGTTAATTACGTTTGAGACAGCAGGGCTAGTTAGGATGATCAGCAGACCCGTACGCCAGCCTTAGGAACAGGACACTGAAAGGGCTTACATCTCTGAGACTGTAAAATGAAGTTTGAGGCAGGATGTTGCAGACCTTTAAAAATACACAAGGAACCAGGCAATTTGCTTAGCCGTATGTTCTACATTTTGCTGTGCTAACCCGGGGGCATGTCAGAACCAACCTCAGAAATGCAGGCTCTGAAGAAACTGCCCCTGTGAAAGCCATGGTGGTTTGGTTGTTGACTTCAACATGAGCAAGACCTACAGGAAACTCCCTTTTCCTTGCTCTGAACATTTAGCCCTTAAGTGAAGTGGAATTAATACCATTGTGCTGTGTGGCTTGAATCTAGCACAACTGGAGCAGAAGTCAATTTGCTGTATTTGAAAGAAAATTAATTAAGGCCTCGTTTGTTTCCCTCAGAGAGAAAAGCTCTGGGTAGTTTCCAGGAGATGATTTTTTTTCCCTGAGCTTCCTTGGTACAGGCCTACATGAACAGAGCAGATGTTGTACAGCTTCCAGTCCCTAATCCCTGTAAGCTCCAGGCTGCGAGCTGGGCTTTCTGACTCCTATGGCGGTGTTGCAGCCCCAGTGGTTGCTCCACAACTGCACACTGTATTTGAAGTCACAGCAAGGAAAATTATCTTAGCAGAGTGAATACTGACAGTACTCCAAGAAGGGAAATGCCATGAGAGAGATGATGCTTATGGTCTGATTTAGCCTCACCTGTCCTTCATCAGCAGGTTATGAACTGTGCGGAGGGCTAAAGGGATTTAGAGACAAGAGGTTCAGCATCATCCCCTTTGCTTCTGAAGTACCCCAGAAAGGCAGGAGGATGGATGGTGTGCCAAGATTTCTATCTTTCCCATGTTGCTTCAGTAGTGCTTTGGAGGTGAGCTTCTCTATTTACATCTACTCTGAATGTTAATAAATGAGTAATGCCCTGCTAAACATGAAAAATGTGTGCACATTCCAGTGCATGGTCCCGGAAGTGTAACCAAGGCTGACAGAATAGGAGATGTGTGCAAAAGGAAGTGGGAGAAAACAAAGCAAACAGGAGAGGTGAACTGTACAGGACACTATGGGCTGTGGGGATTTCAGGAGCAAACTGATTTGCTGCTGCACAAATCCCACTTCAAACAAGTTGCCAATGAATAGGTCACATAGGTGTTATCAGCAAGAAGGCAAAGGAGCAAGAGTGTGCATAGCTGTCATGTATGCGCAAGTGGGAGGTGCTGTTTGCCAGAATCATGCCTTGCATGCTGCCAGCTCCAAGGAACAAAAGGTACCTCTGGTGTGATGCCAGCTATCCGCTTTTCCACTGGAATCTGGACATGGGGGGTTGATGGAAGCAACTCAAGGTGAGTAGCACTCTTGCATCTTAGTACTAAGAGTTTCAGAGCTGTCTCACTATGAAGGATTGCGAGGGAGCCCTCTGAAGCCAAAACATCTTTGGTGACCAAGCTGGGTCCTGAAGGGTCTCTGTAGCAGCTTGTTGCTGGAGTGAAGCTGTCTCAGTCTTTCAGCATACCAGCTGGGCAGCTCTGCAGAGGAGGGAGCAAGTGGCATGGAACAGGTACAGCGTTCTCTCCTCGTCTGCAGGAGCACATAATGCTGGGGAGGAGGACATTGCACCGGATGGTGACGTTACCAGGGCTTATGGGCAAAGATTGATTGTGTCACAGCCTGAAGTAACATTATCTCTTAAGCTATTTTTTTCTCTGATAGTGCTTCAACTGTCATGAGACCTTTTCGAGCTGAGCACTACCATCAGGAATTACATTTTATCTGTGGCTTCTCTCAAAAGTGAAATTAACTGGAAATGAGGGTCATGTTAGGTATGTGGCACCTGTGCAAACATCGATAACCCGTGGAGTCCATCATGGGATGGAAGAGATGGGCTGGTATGTATGTGAGGGTGAAAGGTACCATTTTTTTTCAGAAGTATTTGAAGGGCTTTTGGCAGTTTGAAGGAGAAGATAAGAATTTCATGACTGAGATTAAAAAGATGTTGCTTTTATGTGAATAATCCAGTGGCAGGTCTGGATGACAGCAACTGTCCCTATGGGGATCTATCAAGGCATGCAGAACAGCCCATGTTTGCTGCGCTAGAAGAGTTGCTTTGTATTGCTGTAAAACAGAGCTTCTCCAGCCCAGACTCCCCTACCACCCTACTGCTGTGGGTTTGCTAAGGGGGCTGGGGTGAAATGTGATGTGGGGCACCCCACTATCCCATGTATGAGCTGCTGTCTTCCCCCAGCCCCCTGCCACAAGCTGCAGACTGACACAATGCCTATTGGCATCTCTGCCAGGAAGGAATATATTAATGGGCTAAGAGTCGTGCAATAGTAATACTCCTCCTGTGGAATAAAAGCAACATCCATAAACAATAAGAAATTAATTGTTTAATCAGATGGGGCTGCACAAAATAAGCATGCTTTGACCTTCCGATGAAGTTTGGCAGCATTCATGCTTTAAAATTTATGCTACCCAAAATTGAAAGTTTCAGTTCATTATTTCTTTTCATATCTGTTCAAGCAACCTGAAAGACTTTGACTATCAGGAAAATTGTGCCAAAATACCTGCATTGAGACCATAAACTTTTTTGCCTGAGGGAGAGGCACGCTGGTGCTGGCACCTCCTGATCTTCCTTTATTGACATGTAATAAAAGGAAAATATTTCACATCCCCATTCAGAAGCTGGAGCCTGAAAAGAGTGGAACCAGTAGGTCACAGGTTCTGGACTGTGAAGAGAGAAGTACCTGTCAGTTGCATTTACTTCATCTGAAACATCGTCTGTTGGCTAATGCCGGAAACAGAATATTGGATTAGACAGATCAGTGGTCTGGTGCAGTATAGCAAATCCAATGTGAAAAGCATTACTTTATGTCTGTATGATACTTTGGACATATAATCTGTAAATTCTGATATTTATGATTCCACGATAAACAAAAAAGCAAGCCAGATACATTAGTGTATCTGAGGCCTCAAAGTGTCCTAATCCAGTTATAAAGAGAGGTATATATAAATAAGAATTAGGGAAATGAGGTATAACATAGAAATTAAAAAGTACCTCTAAATATTTAAAAACTTTAAATAGTTGAACCCAAAAATGTGAACCAGCCCCCGTGAGAGACCAGTTTAGTGAGGATTTGCCAGGAGTTGCAGTTTTCTGTGCGCATTAACGCCATGAGCAGAGGGAGCAGGGTGGCAGCCTCCTTTTAGAGGTACGTGGGTTTCTGAACTTCTCTCCAGGTCCAGGAGAGCTGCACCAATGGGTCAAACCAGAGCAAAATGCAAAGGACAGAGTGAAAATATTGGCTCGTGTCCGAGGTTTCACAAAGAGAGCAGCTGTGTGAATTGGTAAGTCTGTGTGCAGCTCTGACTCCCGCTCTCTCCCTTCCTGCCTCCAGGCATGTTTTCCGGGTGACCATGTAGGTTTTTCCTGCTTTTTGTTTTTGAAGTGCTTTGCAAGAGGAGTGTTTATAGGAAATGTTTTGTCATGTGCCATATTCATCTCCTGCATCCGATCAAGTGGTGGTAAGCCAATTCTATAGCCTGTTATGGGCTTTTACTCGGAACGACCAGTGTGCTTTTGCAGAAAAATAGGAAAAGTAAACTTCCCTCCACCTTTCCAGTAGGAGCTACGTTTGCCTCCCCCAAGAAGGAGAACAGATCACTCTCCATAGTGAAATGTGAGTAATAGAGCAGATCTCTAGAAGGTGTTAATTCAAGGAAGAGAAAGGAAAGCAAAGAGATGCTTCGTGGTTGGACAGAGCTTTGGGTGACACGGTTTAGTGTGCGGTGTCCCTGCCCATGGCAGGGGGGTGGCAGGGGATGATCTCAAGGTCCTTTCCAACCCAAACCATTCTGTGGTTCTGTGATCTCGTCTCCCGCGCCGCTCGCAGCAGGCGGAACGGCAGCGCCCCGCAGCGCCCCCCACCGGCCGCACCGCGAGCGGCCGCCACGCGGCCCCTTTAAGGCCCGCCCCGCCCCGTCCCGGGAGCCCGGCCGGCGGTGTGCGCGGGGCGGGGCCTGGCGGGCGGCGGCGGCCGGGGCGTTGGGCGGGTGAGACGCCGGGGCGGCCGGGGCGCGCGGCCGCCGACCTTCAGCCCCGCCGCTGCGGCAGCGCTGCCCCGCCGCCCCTGCACCCGGCACCGTGCCTCGCCCCGCGAACCGCCGCCGAGCTGCCCGGTGAGCTGCCGCGAGGGGAGGGTGGTGGGGCTCGCACCGCGGGCTGCGCCGCTGAGGAGCCGGCGGGAGCGCGGGCAGCGGAAGCGTCCTGGCTCCGGCGTGGGTGGGAGCGGAGGAGCGCGTCTCGGACGCCGAGTGAGGCGGAAGGTGTTTCCGACGCTTAACCCGGGCGCGGGGGAGAGCGGCCCCCTCCGGGAGAGGGAGAGACCCGCCCGGCGGGCGGCCCCTGCCCGCGTGGCGGGGGGACGGCGCCCGCTTCCCTCGGGGCCGCGGCGGGGCTGTCCCGCCGGGGCTGTTGCGTAACGTCACCGGCGGTAGCGGCTTCTCGCCCTCGTCACGGCGGCGTGTGGCCGGGGTAGCGGCAGCGTTGGGCTTCCTCCGAGGGCTGCGGGCTTTAAGGTGTGTAGTTAGGCGTGTGGATCCCCCCTTGGTGTGGGGAGAACCGCTGGGGTTTAAAACCCCCGGGAGTAACAGCCGGGAAATGTTCCCTGCTCTGTGTTACCTTTAGGACGGCTTACGGGTTCTTGGAGAGACGCGAAGTGTCCGGGAGCAAGGTACGGGTGAAGGCACTGCTGCAGATGGTCTGACGTGGGAAACTTTGTGTTCGTGAGGGCTTCATCTTTGCTTTCTTATTTACGGTGCTCTGACGGCGCATGGAGGTCAGACCTCCCCTGGCAGCTGCCTTCACACATGTGCAGTGCCTAGGCTGAGCTTGTATGTGTGTAACGAATCTATCCTAAATCCCTCGGAGGACCTGGAACTCAAAAATAGCCACGCCGGGCTTTTGAGAACTGAAAAGCAGTAACTGTTGTAAGTACCCCTATAATTGAGTAAAAGAAAAGGAGTAAAAGATGAAAGAATACCGTAATAAATAGTTCTTATTTCTAAATGT